ATAGACTCTGCTCATTCAGAATAAAGCAGTTTTATCATGGATTAAAAGCACTCAGCCAGAGGACCTAGCCCCAACAGCCTTGCTCTGTCTTAGTGCAATGTAACTCCAGCGCAGAGGAGTTCTTCCTTTGATGCTCAGTGGCGACGGTTCTTTTGCACATAACGCTTTTCAGTATTAAAAAATGGTAGTGCCATTAGACAGTCTGGAAATAGATACGTGGTGCAGACAGATGGGCAGATGAGGCTGTGTAAACAGTGCCTGGCCGGGGCCAGACCCTGCCCTGAAGCGACGAGGCTGCACCGCGGGACAGGTGCCCGCTGGCTGAGCACCTCTCCCGGTGTGTGCCTGCCCACACTGCGCGGAGCACCCCGTGCCCCGGGTTCCCTCACCACCACAAACTGGCCGGCTCCGGGGTTGCATTGCTCCAAGTACGGCTTTTGACCCATGAAACAGAGACACTTTTAGAAAACCATGCAGGTCTGTGGTCCTCTCTGCTGGCACTCGTGCTGCTCTGGCTGAGATGGGAGGCTGCACTGTGTGGATGGAGATGCTGTGTTCGGGGTGGCTCCCAGCTTCACTGTGTGGTATGCGGGGCCCCTTTCCTTGCCCCTGCTCTAGCGGGAAGGCAGAGACAGTCCCATCTTGCCTGGGGCTGCGTGGCCCAAGCCCGGCCAGTGCCCACTGGGGATGCCCTGGCACCGGGGCCCATGGGCTGTGCAGCATGACCCTGTCTCCCAGGGAGGCTGCTGTGAGGCCGACCCTGGGGCTGCCATGGGGCCGATCCTTGGGTGGTCGTGGGGCCTTGGGGCCATGGGAAGCAGATGGCAGTGGGGCAGCGGGACCCCAGTGCCTGAGGGGTGTGCGCCCGAGTGTGCGTACACGCTCAGGAGTGTGTCCTTTGGGGTTTGTACAGCACATTAAAGCTATTCCCTTATCTAATCATAGCTAAGGTGAGTGCTATTAAGGTTATACATTAACGATGGGAATGATACCCTCTCTCCGTGCAGCCATTGGCCCTTCCTTGATCCTGAAGCCAAAATCCTCCCCACCGGCCCCATGAGTGGCTTGCTTCAGCTGCCCAAGCAGGTCATCTGCCTGGTCTTTTGGGGACAAGAGGGAGGAAGTTGAAATGTGTAGCAGGGCCAGAAGGGGCTGGCGGCCACACTGCGGGGAAAGCAGATTTTGTCTGCAATGGGCTGCGGGAAGCAAAGGTGCTGCAGGAGCTCATGAAGCCAGGGCACAGCCAAGAGGTCTGGTTCATCGTCCCGTTTGCTGTGCAGGAGGTCCTCTTGCGTGAGGGGACGATGTCTTGTCTTGCAAGATCTGCATTAAAGCCAAGGCTTCATGGGGGAAATCAGAGCTCTTTGCACCCCAGTTACCCACACTCGTGTCAGAGATGGCAGAGCCAGCTTTGCTGGACCCTTGGAGCCCTCCACGTCCCAGTTTGGGGCAGATTCACCTTCTTTGGGGTTTTTGCTTTCTCTTGGAGAGGAGAAGTCAATGCCTGGGCTGCCAGGAGCTGCTCCATCCCTCGGGTCATCTGTGCACCCCACGGGGTGTTGGAGGGCTTTCCCCAGGAGCTGGCGCGGCTTGTCCCAAGTTCCCTCTTTCCTTTCACAGAGCCATAAAAGGCCGCCAAGAGAGAGTTAAGTGCAACTCAGCATTCATATTCAAGGTAGTTGAATTATTCATTGTCAATAGTATTTCTTGCAAATCCTTTTCTTTTTCCTTGTGAATCACCCACAATACATTCCTGAATTCAGCAAACATAGCTGAAACCAGCAATTAGTTGAGATGAATAACTTTCCATCTCTGAATTGGTTGTGAACTCTGTGCTTTGACTCTTTGCTGCTTGATGTTTAGTGGTGAGGGACTGGCTATCCGTCCCACTCACTTGGTGATGGCTCACCACTGCGACCGGGAATCTGGAAGACTTGAGACAAAGAAAAGAATTCATCAAGGACAACCGATGAAGAGGGAATAAGAATAACCAAGAAGTGATGGATCTATTTATAGCTGGAGTAGCAAATAATAATTCCTGCTAAGATTCATGGCACATGTGGTATTCACATCTTACTTCTTTAGGGTTATTTTAAAGCTTTCCAACTGCTTTTTTTTCTCCAAGTCATGGTATGCAAATAGTGCTGTTTCAAATGAGATGATTTTTAAAGCATCACCAGTTCAGGAAGTTTTTTTGTTTTCAAGCTAAAATATTCAAGTAATTACAAAGATAAATGTATATGAGTAAAGAGAAAACTTGTAGGAGTCCCTGAGCCTGGAGCGGAGACAGCGAGTGAGCACGTTTTCTCAAGGAGCTGCTAAACCCTGTGTAAACCTCAGCCGGTGCATCTCACTCGTTTTGTAACTCCTTGGGAATCGATGCGTTTGCAGATTTGGCATGGGTCACTCCGGGGTGTGCGTGCAGATGGCCTTCTTATGCCGACGAGCTCTTCAGGAGGCCCCACGGAGCTGCGAGAGGCAGAAGCACTGCATTGCAAAAGGCAGAACTCCTGCGGGAGCAGCAGTGGCATGGGTTGCCAGGTGGCTGTCCCATCTTATCACTTGGTTTTGTTTTGAGCCACCAGCTCCTATTTACACCAAACAGCAGACAAACACCCAGGAAGAAAAAAAGCCTTGCAAAAATCCCCCTTTGGCAGGGAAGAGCCAATGACAGCGCACGGCTGGGACGGACTTGTTCGGTGGCTGCTGGTGGGAACATGAAGCATGGCTCTGCTGTGGGAGATCCCACGCGTGCCGAATCTCTGCATCTCAGCTGCTTGCCTGCAGATATCTCTACACATATGTCGTGCTCAAGCAAATTCCCTTTATATACCTGCTTTTTCACTTGTATATTCGCCCTCTGTGACCAGAGGCAGTTTTGCTCTCATCCGTGGTAAGGAGGGATTTTTTTTTTCTTCCAAACAGCTCCTAAATGAGCTGGGATCTCCACTTGCTTTGAGTCTTTTCTGCCATAAAGGGGTAAAAATAACGACTGAATTCACTGCATCCATCACGTATGATCTAGTGCCTAAAGCCCAGCCCTGGCGCTGGGAGATTTGTTTTCTCTTCCTGGCCGTGTTATAGCCTTGCTGAGCTCCACACGGCTGGGAAGCCTCAGTGCCACGTGGGAATTGCTTGGGGACCCCGTGCTCCTCCCACCTGGGAGCAGGGAGCCACCACGTCTGGGAGGCCGTGTCGACCCCAGCATCACTCCGCTCCCCGCGTGCCGACCCCATGCGAACGCTGGCCCCGAGGAGCCAGCCACAGGCCACGAAGGAGGGCACAAAGAGTGATATAGTCATGGAAATTGTGCTCTGACTCGAGTAGCAGGGCAGCCGCTTTTTTGCCTGGGTCATGTCCCAGCAGGACAAAATGCCTCCCGGCCCGTGCCCAGCTCAGGCGCCCTCTTGCACCCAGACACTTGCACATCTGACATGCGCTCGGTGGCAAGCTGCAGTAGGAAGCCCATTGCCCACTCTTGGTTGCTAACAGAAAAGCAGCTGCCTTTTTTCTGGGAAATTTCTTGCATCCTCAAGGAAGGAGAGGGCTGGAAGCTCAAAGAGCAGGCCTTGTCCTGGGCTTCAGTCTTTCAGGGTGGCCTCAGCTTGCCCCTGCTGCTGCCCTGCTTCTGCAAACAGCCTGGGGCTGCCTTCGGTTACCCCAGCAGGCCTGCATGCATCTCCGAGCGATCATCTTGCGATGTTACTAACACGTTCTGAGATGTTTAAAAATAAAATTGAGTTGGCTGGTAAACAAGCGGATTTGCATGTTGGGGGTGGAGGTGCTGCGATGTGGGGATTCTCTGATGTCTAACTAGGGTTGAATCCACGCTGCCGTTTCTCTCTGCAGAAGCAGAGTTTTGCTCTGCACCACCCAAACTCCTACTTCCACCAGGCTAGCCAGAATTTAATAAGATCTCTGAGGCTTCTCAATGCCCATCAGATTTGGCCCAAACCAGCCAATGTGCCAAGTAGTTATTAGCAGGAGCAGACGAACAGGACGACAGGCGTGCAGAGCATAGATCCGATTTTCTTGGGGAAACAGACTAAGAGTGAGGCTAATCAAGCCTTCTGTTTAGTTAGCAGTTAGCAGGATGGTCTGTGCAGGGAATCAATGCCTCCTCTGACTCCGGACAGGCGCCGGGGCTGGAGGGGCTGGGGCAGAGCACCCAAGAACCACGCTGGAGCCTCCGAGGGCAAAAACGGCTGTTTCTGTCTCAAGAACAGGAGAAAGTTCATGGGCTAAAGTAGGCGGCTGAATCCTGCCTCCCTTTCCATGCTGGTGCATGCCCCGGGGAGATCTGTGGAGCCGTTTGGGGCTCGGCCCTGCCCCTTCCTGTGGTGGCATCGCTCTCCGTGGCAGAAATTCAGGAGGGGATGGGCAAATGTGCCTGCTGGCCTGAGTCTTCCAGGCAGACAACTGGCTGGATTCCCAGGCGGAAGGACAGTGGCTGCTCAGCTGAAAACCTGGCTCTGCCCCTCCTGACGCCCTGGAACAGGGTTTGGTGATTTCGAGTGGAGCAGCAAATATTCGCAGCTGTGTTTATTTCCCGCCTTGGGACTATTCTGTGGAGGAAAGCACCACGTTTTTGTTAGCAAACTCCCAGAAATCGCCTGCCTTCCTCAAAAGGGTGCTGAAACTCCCCGGAAAACAAAAATCCTCATTCATCTGAGGATATGGAAGTTAAACTACTGAGAGGCTGCCAAAGGGGTGCGGTGCCACCCTTGCCCCCTTGCCAGGGCTGGTTTGCCGAGGGGCTCCATGGCGCAGTGCTGGGCGCCGCAGGTCGGACCCTGCTGTGCTGTGCTTCACCCTCCCAGGCCGCCATGCAATTAGAAGGAGCATCTCTTCTCTCTTGCCCACCAGTCCCCAGGGCGTTGCTGTGTCTCCTGAACTCCCCGTGGGTTCATGCCGCTCTGTGCCCTCGGGGATTCTCCTATCCCTCTCGCTGCCCCTCCAAGCCCCCCTCCTGGCTAACTCCACTCCTCTCTCTCTGCCAGGCAAGACCAGGACGAAAGACAAGTACCGGGTGGTGTACACAGACCACCAGCGCCTGGAGCTGGAGAAGGAGTTTCACTACAGCCGCTACATCACCATCCGCCGCAAAGCCGAGCTGGCCGTTGCCCTGGGGCTCACTGAACGGCAGGTCAGTGCTGTGCCACCCTGGCGGGTGCCTTCTCACCATGCTGAGCCTGGTGGGGAACCTCTGTCCTGGGTGGAGATGGAGGTCCCTAGGTGAGCTGGGCTGGGAAATGGGAGGGCTGCAGCCCAGAGGAGGCAATGTTGTCCTCCCTGTGCGGGCCATCTTGTCCCACAGCTCGTCCTTCTATTTAAACCCCAGGATGATCCTGGATGTAGCACTTCCCCAGGGGTGCTACAAGGATTGTCATCCTCTGCTGTGTCCCCTTCTCTCCACCACTGTCCATTTCTCCCTACAGGTGAAAATCTGGTTTCAAAATCGGAGGGCGAAGGAGAGGAAAGTGAACAAAAAGAAGATGCAGCAGCAAAGCCAGCCCACCAGCACTACCACACCTACGCCTCCAGCTGTTGGCACGCCGGGGCCCATCGGAGGCCTATGCAGCAGCAGCGCCCCAAACCTTGTCTCCTCCTCTCCACTGACGATCAAGGAGGAATTCATGCCTTAACCCCCCCAGCAGCTACAGACACCAAGAGTTAAGCACTATGCAGCAGAGCCAAACCGGCTACCATGCTCTGAAGAGTGACAGTCCCTTCCCAAAGACACAATGTTCCCCGGTTGAACCAAAGGGGCAGCCCATGAGGCTGGACAAGGTGGCACCGTGACCTTCCCAAGGGGCTTGTGGGCTCTCGCCTACATACAAAAACAATAGGCTAAATAGTATTGTTCTCCTGCAGGAAACATACGCTCATTGGGCCTCCAGAGGCCATAGCCCCAAGTGGGATCTTAAGGTTATTAGAGAGGAAGGAGGGTTCTTGGCTGGAGGTGCGAGGTGGGGGTAGAGGAAGACTTTCCTGCAGCACATCAGATGAAGCTTACAGGACCCCTTCTTCACAGTCCTCCTGACGACCCAGCTGCCTGGTGCTTTTGGGGCAGTTCAAACAAGACTTAACAAGAAAAAACACTTGGCTGGACTCAAGGCAAATCAAATTTGAGCTGAACTGATCCCCCTGTCACACTAGGAAGGGGGATGCAGAAGGTAGAGAGAGCTGGATGGTGCAAGTCAGGCAGGACTCTGGGCTGACGAGGATGCAGTCAGAGGAGCCTGCTGGTGTCTGAGGGAGAACTGGAGCCCTCCTCTAAACCAACGCTGATAGCGCTGAGCTGGAGCATGCCCTTGGCAAGTTCTCCATGCATATCTCCACCGCACCCCGCAGCGGTCCCCGCAGCACCCCTCCTTCTGCACTCCCAGGCTCTGCCCATGCTGCACTGGGTCTGGAGACTCACTCTCCACACAGATAACAACCGTGTTCTGCTGTGCCGTGGCAACTGAGGTGTGTTCATGATGCACCACGTGGAGACATGCCGGGTCTCCATCCAGCAAACGAATCGCCTCGGTGCCGCGGGAGAGCTTTGCGCTGCGAGGACTGCAGCAGCTGCAGGCACTGGAAATGGCTGCTCTTCAGAGCTGGGGCTGGAGCTGGGGCAGGCAGGGCTGTTGCAGGGAGACAAAGGGCTGGCATGTGTGCGCTGGCGTGAGGATGGAGGTGGTGGATTCCAAAGACAGTGGCATGGGAGTTTCCTATTTCCTTCAAGACCCAAAGGACATTGGGTTTTGTCCCTGCTGTGTGCCTTGGGCCGGTAATGAATGCACCCGTGATGGGGGTATGCAGAGCACTGAAGGGCTGCTCCGAAGTCCTACCTCATGCGAAGGCCACCAGGCAGGTCTCTGCTCTCCCCTCTTATCCTGCTGGAGAATTGCAGCCAAAAAACTTCATTTACCCAGCCCACTCCCGATTGCTATGTTGGCCCAGGTTAACTTATAGCCCTGTTTTGGACACCCTTAAGGTCAGCAGGAGCAGCTAGGGTCCTACTCCAGTCTGTGCTGGGTGTTTCTGGGCTGCTACTTCCCTCCCAGAGCTGGGAGCAGAAGGCAAGGCACTGGCTGTCATGGCTCCAGCATGAACACAGCCAAGCCTTGCACCGGGCCCTCTCTAGCGCTTATCGCATCTGAGGGTCCTCAGGTGTCACCTCCCTCAGTCACCACCACCAGCTGTGGCTGGTGGTGTGGATGAACGGTTGCATCGGCTCGGGATTTCGGCTCAGTTTTTGTGTATATAAAGCAGAATTGGTTTTCCTTTTTATTTTTTAAGCATTGGTAAAAATAAAAGCTAGCAGGAATCCCACATGCCATGGCTTCGTTGCCGCCTCCTCGCAGCCCAGGCTGTTGTGTCTGCCTCCCAGCACCTGGGAAAGGGATGTTGGGTGTGGGTGTCACACGGCAGCAATGCTCCTGAGTGCCCTGGGGCTGTGAGCCAGGGATGCGCCCGGGCACCGGGTCTTGTTCGGCCAGACCATCTCCACCAGTAAGGGAGCAAACGGACCCTTTGATGTGTAGTGCTCACCTCCCTCCCGCAGACGCACTGCTGGGGGCACTGAGGGTGTCGACCTGGCACGGCCCCACAAAGTCCTGGCTCTTGCTCGTGGTGCCAGTTGGCCGTGCTGAGTGTCCTGGTGGCTGCAAACCTGCTGCCCAGGGGGCAGTCGCGGAAGGGGTGAGGCTGAGCTCAAGCTGGTGGAGGCCAAAGAACAAGGCCAGCTGCCCATGGACGTGGCAGCCTCTCATTGGTGCCTCCTGGCCTCTAATCTTGTTTTATGGCTGTTGACGGGCTGAATATCCTCCTTGTCCAAGAAGAGCAAACACAAAATGAGGATGTGAGATAGTGCCTGGAACAGCTGGCATCGGTGCCTGGCTGTGTGGAGAGGCAATGGCAAGCGGGAGAGGGCCTGGATGGTCCAAGAGCGAGAGAGTGCCTGGATGGGCCGAGCCTGACCATCACTGTGCTTGCACCAAACACGAATTTGCCCTGACTCTCTAACCCAAAACTGCTCTTTCTGCCCCATAAAGTGCCAAGCATTGGCTGGGAAGTGGAGGAGGGGTGGCAGGGCTATTGGGTAGGGAGGGTGTCTCAGGAAGGACACCAGGTGCAGGATAAAGTCCTCGTGTCTCATGGGTGCAGGATGCTGAGGTGGCAATGCAGAGAGAGGCAGAGCAAAGGGTTGTTCTTGACCTTGCAATAGTGGCTGCACCCATCGCTGCACCCTGGAGACCTGTGTGCTCGCCGCAGCAGTGGCACGGCTGCAGGTGAACAGCCACTGCCGCCTCCTCTGCACATGCTGCCCCGGGGGGTGTGGGGCCACGAGTAGTTAAAGTAAGAGGGGGAAAAGGGCATGGAGTTGGTGAGATATGGGAAAAGGGACAGCCTGGACAGGCCAGCTTCCCACAGAGCTGGGCAAGGCCAAGGGAAACCAGGGCCCGTTCCTGTGCAGAGACTTGGTGCAGCCCCCCTGCTAGGGACTGGCTGGGATTTGCCTGCCTTTGATTTGCAACGTGTCTTTGGCACATGGGGATGGAGAGCATGGGGGAATCCTGTCTCTGCAGGGGATGGGGTGGTGCTTCCCAAACCTGAACAACGCCAGTGCCTGCAACATCTTATTCGAAGCCCCTCTGTGCTTGAAGGGGAGCTGCCCTCCCATGACACTGCCCGGGAACCAGGCTCGGGGCTCCCGCGCACAGGGTGCGTGGAGGAGCGGCAGGCTGCCCGGTTTGCGCGGCAAGGGAAGATGCTCCGCCGCTGGCCCTGGCGAGGTTCCCGGGTGGCGTTGACAGGCTGAAATTCCAACTGATCCCCTAATCAGGCGCCTGCCTGTTTGCACAGCCGGGTAAAAGTCCAGGCGGCCGGGGGCTGGGCCCTTGGGTTCCTGC